TCGTCTTGTTCTCTCTAGTTTCCAAAGGTATTCACCACCATCTTCACAGCACTAGAAGGCACAGGTGAGCAGTGTGATACATTCTTTGGCTTTTCTTGTTTTTGTTTCCTCTCTGCATGTCTTTTCTTAGACCATATACAGTATCTATTGAATGGGTGCAAAACCACTAAAGCCACTTCACCAGGACAGAAAAAGCATGTCACGTCAAATCACACTGCAAAACTGACTGTATATATACTGTAGCCCCCATGGGAAAGAGGTGGAACCACAGAACATCACCATCTGTCCATTTTAGTGTTTCTCCAACTAAAACTGACATTGACTGCATTGTGAGGGAAGCTCCTGAGGATCAAAAGCATATTCTGAGTCTGCAAAGAGTCAAATAATGAGCATCTAATGAGCAGACACACACACACACACACACACACACAGAGTAAGAATAATGCTGTACCATAAAAGGTACTGCAAGTAGTACAAAAAAACCTTAGCCAGTTATTTGATTGTCAAAATATTTTTACCTGTTTCCAGTTAACATGAAAGCTGTAATTTGACATATTTAAATAACTAATAAAGGGTTAGAACTAACCCTAACCCTGTTTGAACTAGAAGTAAAGACAAAAAATCCAGAATTGTATGTAATGTTAAAGCACATCACTGTTGTGTGTAAATGTATTTCAAGGTGAATCAATAATTGCGGTTAAATGACTTGTGCATACGTTTGTGTAAAGCTTGTGAAATTCACTATTATGAAATTTTGAAAGATTCTAGTTATGTAAGTGTATTAACATCCACTACTTGCATTATGATATTGATGATGATCATGTTTTGCATGTGAAAAAATATGTCACAAATGCCACAAAATTAAAAATTCCTTATGCATGAGTTGTGGTTTAAAAATCATTTACCTGCAGCCTGGGCAGGAAATTTCTCAAGACCCCAATGAAATGGTATTACAAATTGCATATTCATAATTACTAATGGGGTTTTGCAGTGTTGATAAAGAAACAAAGTGACACAGCTGTAATTTGAGCATTTGGTCTTATTCAAAATGTATTTTTAGGCTTTCTGTTCATGGATGCCAAATCAGGGAGGAGAGAGCGAAGATTTATACAATTAGCCTCGGCGCCTGATTTATAACCACTGCGACATATGGAATGGTGTTGCAACCATGCTGTCAGCATGGCAGCTGTTAGTCACCTGAGACCTCACTGGAGTTAACAACATGTTTGAGGAGGGAAAGGGTGTTTGTAAATCACATCATTCACCAGAGGAGAATGTGATGGACTTGTACTAGTTTTCAGGTCAAACCATGCTTTAATTACTGATCAAAATAAAAGATAATTTGACTGGTAGAAAACTGCATGACTGCAGTTCCAAAATCTGTTTGATTTCTTCAACTATATTAAAGTTCAGCTGCTGTAACCATACACTTTCTTCTTTTCTTCTACCCTCTCTCTCTCGCTCTCTCTCTCTCTCTCTCTCACACACACACACACAAAACAGCCTACAGTCACCAGATCCTAAGTGGAGGTGTATTCAAATTAACACAGCCATGCTCATTTACATCATCAGTGTTGGTAAATACAGCACTAAATTGAAAAATATATATATATATTTTGCACACCTAATAGTGATTTGTAACAGGTTTAGTAAAGATCCCTTCCAGTATTTTAACAGTAAATGAGCCACTTTTGACATCTCCACTCTGCAGCTGAGATAAGATGGTTCTTTTCTTGAAGATGACCTGTCTTCCAGTTTCCAGTTGACTAAAAACTGTGCACTGACTTTGTCTTTCAAGCCACTTGAGCCATTACCTCACCTCCCTGGTCCCTGCAGTCTCTTGCAGCATGACTGACTAACTGGCTGACAGAGAAAGTGCTGATTATAAGTTATCATCTCCAGCAAGGGTGATTAGTGGAGGTGCTGAACAGCCCAGAAACCAGGCTTGTCAGGGACCCTCTGAGGGGGATCAAGGGGGGCTACAGAGCTTCACCACCAGACCCACCAATCTTCAGCTGCCCTAGGGCACAAAGTGGATCAACCCCCTTTCCATCTTCTCAAAAAGTACCATGGAGAGAAGATAGACCGGGTCAGAGAGTGAGAATGTTTTTTTCCTGGTCAGGAGTGAATGAAACCATTTTTAGGGTTTTTTTATGTGAGCAATATCAGCAGTTTTAGACTGAAGCTGCATTCACAAAGAAATTCGAAAAAGTTCCTAGTAAATTCTACACTATATTTAAGTGAAATCAGTAAATGCACATATCATAAATGCAATAACAGCACATTTAGTTATAATCTTTAATTTGTTCCCACAAAGGTGATGGAACTAGCTGGGTGAAGAATGAACAACACAAGCTTTAAAGCAAAATTAAAACCCTACTTACTTCCACACCAGTGGACACCTGCCCTGTACTTCAGCCTCAGGCTCACTGTAGCAATACAAACTCATTGCAGTATGCTGATGACACTCAGTACTACTTGCAAGTCACCTTGCTGAAAGCTCTGATAGAGTTGCCCGCTGGTGATAGCAGATAGAGCTGGCCAGTTTACTGAATAATTCTATCTCATGCTCATTTCATCTGAGGGCTAATGTAATCTTTTAGTACAGATGATTTAAGGCAGATTTAATATTGTGGTATGTAAAAATGTTCCAAAGACATATGAAAACTCAGCTGTTGTTTACATAGATTTTTGCTTCTCTCAGGGATGTAGTAGTCAGTATATGTGTTGTAACAGTATTCTAATAAAACAAATTTAAGTTGGCTTGGTAATGATTATAAACCTTGACATACTGCAGCTCTGAGTAAGTGCATTTGGAAACCAGTATAATTGCTGTTCATTTTGTCGCAGTCTGGACATAATGCACATGCAGGGATTGTCCAGGGAGGTTTTTCTAGCTTTATTGTTAAATCAAGGTTAGCCAGGCTCCTCTAAATTGCTACCCACAACTTTGACTTTTGCAGTGATTCAGTTTGGTATTGATGGGTATTTCCTTCAACTGGAGAAATGGCTAAACCAATGAAAGTTTTGTAAGCAGGATTAAGAAGGTAGAAGTTTTTTCTGGACAGC